CAATTAAACAATTACGGATTTAATTCCCTAAATGACAATAGGTTACCAAATCAATTAACTATCCGGATCCAAGACAATCAATTAATTAAATAACCATAAGCATAGCAATCAAGAAATATGCGGATACCAATAAATATAAGGAAAAGATTAAATTAGAACGATCTCACAATTTTTAGGCAACCCAGAGCCTCCATTTCTCCTTGACTATGGTGAGGAGATTAGTTCATATTTGATGAACAAAATCCCCAAGAAATTGAAGATAACGCTGCGGCCATTGTCATTGATATTTGAGAATTTAGTCCGTTCCAATCAGGAGGAGATAATAAAGTTACACGACATGCTCTCCTCTGCCTCGCTACAGACGACATACGAGGAAAGAAAGAAAAGCTCCAAGTGTTTAACATGAAGAAAAGTCAAAAGCTACCAATTCCTAATGCCTGCCATGCGTATGAAAAGCAAAAACCATTATTTTTGGGAAAAGTCAACCATTCCTCCTCAATTACAGACGGTCAAAAACTAATCATCAGGCCAGCTGCCAAACTTCATTCTTTTCCTTCTTTTTATTATTGCCGCGGCTCACCAGGAGGAAGAAGCCTTTCGTCTGTCACTTCTTTGCGGAAATTACCAAAGTGGGCGTGACATCTTCTCTTTCCCAAAAATGCCCCTGGGACAATCTTTATCATCTGGACTTTTTTCCTGTCAAATTGGCACCTGTTATCATATTTTCGTTCTACTCCCTGAAATAAGTGCAAATTACGAAAAGTGAGTAGAATCTACTAATTAATTCACATCAAGCCAGGTAATAGGGGAAATTAATAATAAAATAAATAGTGAAATTACACCCTATCAATTCCCCCCACACCTAAACCATGCTTGTCCTCAAGCATAAGAAAAGTGGACAGACGCCAAAAGTTGACAGTGGTCATTACTCTTATTTACTACATTGCCAAGATACCCAGGAAAACCATATATCAAGTAATAGTGATCAAAATCCGAGAACCATCACCCTGGATAGCTTCTAAACCGCAGGCTCTTTCAATTCTAAGTTAACTAATCTAGGAAAAAGGAATGGCACACAACATTTATCAGTTAATGATCCAAATATTCATACAAGTCTCCATATTAAATCCATAAACCGGCAAACTTTCCTATTATTTATTCTCTCTTTCTTTTTTTTTCTTGTTGGTTTTTTTTTTTTTTTGATAGCAATAACAATTAACACAAGAAAACTTAGTCTTTAGCCGTCGGGGCCTTTTGACGCGAACTCTAACATTTTTAGATGAAGGAGCCCGGTTACTCAGCTCCTACCGCTATACGACCACGTACTCATAGAAAGCATCACCTTTTGACGCGAGAATCAACACTTTTAAGTGCAGATTCCCGGTTACTCAGTAGTAACTTAATAGTGGAGTACAGTCCAGATTATTCACAGCCAACCAGCGCCAAAAACACAAAATCACAACACTAAAAACCAAAAATAGGAGCAGCTCGCCTTATTATTGCCAAACATAGAGAACTGGAGTCAATATTGGACCAGTTCACATTAAAATGCCAACAGTCATTCCCTATACCTAGAAAAGTTAACAAATAAATCAAAAGGGTCAAGCAGTCCGATATGCACCAAGGAGACATCTTGAATTCAACCACATTAACCCGATACCTTTTTATTTTAAAAACGTGGCAAAAGTAAAATTAGAGTCACCAAGCCAACATCCATTTTTATATATATATATTTTTTTCTTTGACAGAAAGCAGAGAAAGCACCAAGAAAGGAAAATAAGCAACTAGAATTAAAACGAATAACTACTAAAAGCTAAAAACACTATAGACCCCCCCACACCTATAGGACACATTGTCCTCAATGTGTCAAATAACAAAAAACAAAAGTGAGAGAGAAGCAACCAAACTTCCCTGAATTCAAGTCAAAGTGAAGGGTGAGGTGGGACTGGGGGCGGGAAACCGGAGTGCTGCAGGAATGCCGCCAGATTCTGTGATATAGCCGCCACGTTGCTCTCGATGCTAATTATCCGGGCGTCCAAATTCTGAATCTGCGTCCTGATTTGGTGCCAATCTTCAGCCCCTGCTGGTGGAGGGGGCTGAGTGGACGTCGACGGGCCAGGATCACCGCCAACTGGGGCCGAATGGGTGGAGGAAGAGCGAGGCGGGGCGCGGGGCGGTCCCGGGGGCACAAATCGGTAGCGGCCATCGACAAGCTCCAGAACCCCCATCTTCTCTAGCCGGTCAGCAGTGAGATACTCCATGTTGCAGGCCAAGTGCAAATCGTGATCCTGTAGATTCAGAACGCCTAGCTGGACCGCCAAGTGCGTGATATACGACCCAAGAATCAACGGCTTGTTCTTCTTCGCCATGACGGACTTGAATTGTGCCGCCAACCAACAACCCAAATTGACCTTGAACCCATTCGTCATACACCAAAGGAAGAAGAGCTTCGGCCGAGAGATGATACCGGAGCTGTCCTTTTTGCCCGAGTAGCTATATGCTAAAAGCCTCTGAACATACCGAGCACTCAGGTCCTCTAGAAAGGAGCTCCGAGACCGAGAGGGATCATAACGCTGCATGTCCACAGACATGTCCTCCCACACCTCACGGTAGGCGGAAAGGAAAGGCTCCACAAAATTGCAGGCACTCTCGCCGTACTCCCTAGTCTCTGCATACTCCCGAGTGATGAAACCGAAAGCCAGATTGAACTGGGTGATAGAGAAATTGAATTCTTGGCCCATGAGACGGAAGTGAATGACATCGGGAGTCGCAACAGTATACCTAGTTGGTAATTCAAACTCAAAAGTGGCGTAAAACTCTTTAGTCAACTCGACAAAGGCGGGCTGGAAAATATCAAGATAGGGGCGCCATCCAATGGCGGTGTACATGCGCTCAACCTCCCCCTGGATCCCCAGAAAAACCATAGTAATGTGGTCCGCGCATTTGCACGGAATGATACGCCGCTCACATGCTTGAGCGTAGCGCCGCTGATCGGCGGCTCTAGTGAACTCCAAATGCCCTTCCAAGTGAGTGGCAGAAACCACGTGGGCACCTCTACCCCTACCTAACCGGGTTCGGACACCGGGAGCAGTAGGTTGATTTATAGGGGTATTGACTGGAGTAGAGGCTTGGGGTTGAGATTGCGAGATTCTAGGGGTCCTAGACCTGGAAGCTGATTTGGGCCTCACCATGATTTGGAGCAACCAACTTAATCAACAGAAACTCCAACAAAGATAACAACTCACCAATGCCAACAACGAAATAAGGGGCTGCTCACAAATGAAGGGCCCAGCAATTGCAACCCAGCAATAGCAATTCAGAAATTACACAAAGCAACACAGTCACACGGGTCTGGCACTTGATCAAATATCCAACCAACTAGAGTTAACAAATTCCAGATAAAATATTCCAGTAATAGCACCCAAAGACTCGACAAATAACCCCAGCAGTGAGCCTCAAGAAGTGAACAAGTCAAGAAATGGAAGTGGAAAACTCTGACGTTAACAACTGAATCTCAAACCCCCAGCTTCCAATCAGTTAGCCAAAGGCGTAACAATAATCTAGCAGAATCAAAATAACCACAGAGGTGAGGAAACAATTCCAGCGGTTGACCCAAAGTACTGAAAACCCCCAACTGACGGTCAAAAGTAAACCCGGTTCAACTAAAATTTCAGCAAATGTCCCCAAATTAACTAGATGAACCAAGCACCAGGATGCCGTCCACAATTAGCAAATGCTACCTATTTCATAAGTAAAACAAGCGGCGAGGTATTCCAGTTCAACAAGCAAAAGCAGAATCAAAATGCCCAAAGGACACTCTGTAATTGCAGTACTCCAGCCCTCTCAAAATCTCATAAAAAAAAAGTCCAAATTGAACTTGCACCCAATCCAACAGAAGCAACAGATCAGGGTGAACGACACAACTATTAAGAAATCCCAGCAACATCAAGCAATATTAAGAATTCGAGGGACAGCTTCCAAATACCTTCACCGTAGAGGGTAGCCAAACGAAATGGGATAGTAGCGGGGAAGGGCCGAGGGAGGCGGGCGCCTCGTGCGCTGAGGCGGCAGTGGCGGACAGAGAGAGAGTGGTGCGGGCAGGGAAAAAGGCGGCGGCACGCGGCTCTCGTGGCAGTGGTGAGAGGCGGCGCGCGGGGTGGTGACGACTGGTGGAGCTCGATGCGAGGGGGACAGTGGCGGCGGGAACTTCAGCAGCGGCGGCGGAGCACCCGATTGGGGCGCGCGATGGTGGAGGCGCTGCTCGAGGCATCGGTCAAGCTAGAGTGGTTGTGCGATGGGAGAGGGAATTCCAGCCGTAGAGCAGATCTGGTGGCGGAGGGAGTGCGCAAGTGGGCGGCGGACAGGGAGTCTTCGGTCGACAGAGAAGAAGAAGAAACAGGGGAGAAGAAAGAAAGAAAGAAAGAAAGAAAGAAAGAAAAAGGAAGAAAAGAAAAGAAGGAAAAGAAAAAGGAAAAAAAAAAGAAATTGTTTTGTTTCTATTTTTTTTTTCTTTAGGCTCTATTTAAGCCACGGTGATTTTTTTTTGTTGTTTTGTTTTGTTTTACGGAAATTAATTTCAAAATTTTAAATTATTATCTTATTTTTTATTTATTATTATTTTTTTTTAAATTTTTTTTTTGAATTTTGAAACCCGTACCTTTCTCGCGAACGTGACGCGAGCACGTCAAGAGGGCAAGAAAGCTTTCAGACGATTCTGATTGTGAGCTTCCTGCACGTCATCACGCGGGCGCGTCAAGAGGGCAAGAGAGCTTTCGGACGATTCTGATCGTGAGCTTCTTGCACGTCATCACGCGGGCGCGTCAAGACTGAAGGTCACATACAAATCAGCAAAAACGAAAATTGAAACCCAAAATCAGTCGAATTCAAGGAAAACATATTTAAACTATCACACGAAATCAAACAAATAATTAAAAGACACAATTGGGTTGCCTCCCAATGAGCGTCTGTTTTTAATGTCTTTGGCTAGACATGGTAAAGTGTCATTGATTAGGACACGGTGGCGCGTCTAGACTTATTGTCTCCACCTCTCCACTTGAAAATCCTTCGTAGTAATGCTTAAGACGGTGTCCATTCACCACAAATTTGTTGTCTGTTTTAGCGCTCTGGATTTCAACTGCACCATAGGGAAAAATGTGAATCACAATGAAAGGTCCAATCCAACGGGAACATAGCTTACCTGGGAATAGCTTGAGCCTGGATTGGTACAAGAGGACCTTCTGACCAATCTCAAAGGTTTTTCTAGAAATTTGTTGATCATGAAATGTCCGGCTTTTCTCCTTATAAATTACTGCGTTTTCGTATGCTTCGTTCCGGATCTCCTCCAATTCTTGCAAATCCAACTTCCGTTGAGCACCGGCCTCCTCTAAATTCATATTGCATTGTTTTATCGCCCAAAAAACCTTGTGCTCGAACTCTACTAGAAGGTGACACGGCTTCCCAAATACCAACCTGTACGGTGACATCCATATAGGAGTCTTGTACGCCGTCCGATAGGCCCAGAGTGCGTCCTCCAACCTTTGGCTCCAGTCTTTCCTATCAGGGCGCACCATTTTCTCTAAAATGGACTTAATCTCCCTATTCGACACCTCTGTTTGACCATTAGTCTGAGGGTGGTATGACGTTGAGACCCTGTGGAGTACACCATACTTGCGAAACAACGCAGCTATGGTTCTGTTGCAGAAGTGCGTCCCCTATCACTGACAATAGCTCTTGGCATTCCAAATCGCACAAAAATATTAGACCGGATAAAATCTGCAACTACTTTCGAGTCATTAGTTCGAGTGGCCTTAGCCTCCATCCATTTAGACACATAATCAACTGCCAGCAAAATATATAAAAAATCAAATGAAGTAGGAAAAGACCCCATGAAATCTATACCCCAGACATCAAAAATTTCAACAAAAATCAACGGGGCTTGGGGCGTTTGATCTCTACGGGCTATATTACCTACCGTTTGACAGCGATCACATGACTTACAAAACACATAGGCATCCTTAAACAATGAAAGCCAATAAAATCCACTTTGTAAAATTTTATGAGCAATTCTCTTGGGTCCAAAATAACCCCCACATGCAAAAGTATGACAAAAAACTAAAATCGATTGAAATTCCACTTCACTTACGCATCTCCTTATCACTTGATCTGCACATCTCTTCCATAAGTACGGGTCATCCCAGATGAAATACTTGGCGTCGCTCTTCAATTTATCCTTTTTCGATTTTGGCCAACCTGCAGGAAAATTGCCAGTCACCAAATAATTAACCAGATCGGCATACCAAGGCAATTGAGAATTTAAAGAAAATAAATGCTCTTCAGGGAATGCATCTCTCAATGGTTCATTATCCTCTTCAACGGGTATACGGCTCAAATGGTCAGCTACTAAATTTTCTGAGCCTCTTTTATCCCTTATCTCCAGGTCAAATTCCTGTAGGAGCAATATCCACCGTATGAGCCTCGATTTTGCATCTTTCTCGGTCATCAGGTACCTCAATGCTGCATGATCAGAAAATACAATCACTTTAGCACCTAACAAGTATGACCTAAATTTTTCTAAAGCAAAAATAACCGCAAGAAGCTCCTTTTTAGTAGTGGAGTAATTTAATTGGGCTCCATTCAATGCTCGGGATGCATAGTAGATGACGTGAGCTGCCTTCCCTACTCTTTGCCCCAATACAGCCCCTACGGCATGGTCACTGGCATCGCACATGATCTCAAATGGTAGACTCCAGTCAGGGGGCTAGATGATTGGAGGTGAAGTCAACAATTCTTTCAACTTGTCGAAGGCTTTCTCACATTTGTCATTGAATTCGAAGGTCACATCCTTTTGTAGAAGTTGGAACAACGGGGCTCCAATTTTTGAAAAATCCTTCATGAACTTTCGGTAAAAACCTGCATGTCCAAGAAAAGAATGAATCTCCCGCACATTTGCGGGGTAAGGTAATGCCGATATAATATCTATTTTAGCCTTGTCAACCTCGATACCCTTAGACGATACAACATGACCTAAGACTATCCCGTGGTCAACCATAAAATGACATTTTTCCCAATTAAACACAAGATTAGTCTCTATACACCTTATCAGGATCAATTTCAGGTTATCTAGACATGTATCAAAACTATCACCATACACACTGAAATCATCCATAAAAATTTCAATAATTTTCTCCACATATTCAGAAAAAATACTTACCATACACCTCTGGAACGTTGCAGGTGCATTGCACAACTCAAATGGCATTCGTCTATAGGCAAAGGTCCCGAACGGGCACGTGAAGGTTGTCTTCTCTTGATCCTCTGGGGCAATTGCTATCTGAGAGTATCCTGAAAATCCATCCAAAAAACAATAGTAAGCCCTACAAGACAAACGTTCAACCATTTGGTAAATGAAAGGGAGAGGGAAACGGTTCTTTTTGGTGACGGCGTTTAACCTACGGTAATCTATACACTGCCTCCATCCAGTGGAATTGCGCACTGGCACGAGCTCACCCGTTTGGTTGGCCTCTACCGTCACTCCTGCTTTCTTTAGGACCACCTGGACCGGACTCACCCAAGGGCTATCAGATATTGCAAAGATGATCCCCACATCTAGCAATTTTAAAATCTCTTTCTTTACAACTTCCATCATGAGGGGGTTGATTCTCCTTTGAGCCTGCCGAACAGGTTTAGCATCCTCCTCCAGTCTAATCCGGTGCATACAGATGACCGGGCTGATCCCCTTAATGTCTGCGATTGTCCAACCTATCGCCTCTTTATGCTCTTTAAGGACTCGGATCAGTTTCTCCTCCTGGGTTTTTGACAGTGCCGATGAGATAATCACCGGGAGTGTCTCATTATCACCCAGATATGCATATTTCAGGTGCTTTGGTAGAGATTTTAACTCCAGTACAGGTGCCTGCACCACAGATGGCAACACCCTCTGGTGAGGTTCAGGAGTAAAAATAGGTAAGACTTCATACCTTTTCGTGGTGGTCTGCAATGAGTGTAATGTACCTATTGTGCATTTTAGATCCTCGCTCCACTCCACCTCAAGAGTTGTCTCCAACTCGAGGTGCTTGGTTAAAACCACCTCCAACTCATCCCTGCCATCAGTTTCAAACACTTCCTGCACTACAGGGTCAATAGCACTCACAGAGAAAACTGAGCTAAAGTTGGAGTTTGAGGGATATTTCATAGTATCAAAGATATTGAAATGCACAATTTCCCCATCAAATTCCATGGATAAGGTGCCCTTATTAACATCAATTTTTGTTTGTGCTGTGCTCATAAAGGGTCTACCTAATAACAACGGTGAGGGATCAGGGGAGTGATCATCATCCATATCAAGTACATAAAAATCAGCTGGAAATACCAAATCATTAACTTTTACCAACACATCTTCAACCAACCCATCAGGATATGCATTAGTTCGGTCAGCTAATTGAATGATTATTCCAGTTTCTTTTAATGGACCTAATTTTAGAGAAGCATAGATAGATTTAGGCATGACATTAATTGATGCTCCCATATCTAACATGGCCCTTCTGATCACAGTATTACCTATCCTACAGAGAATAGTAAACATACTTGGGTCCCTGCACTTTGGTGGGGGCTTTCTCTGCAGGACCGCTGACACATTCTCCCTAACAATAACCCGTTCATCTCTCCTCAACCGCCTTCGATTGACACACAAGTCCCTTAGGAACTTGGCATATTTTGGTACTTGTTTGATTGCGTCTAAGAGGGGGATATTTATGTCAACCTTGTAAAAAACCTCCAAGATCTCCTTCTCCTTATCCTATTTTTTCAATTTTTCCAACCTGCTAGGAAAAGGAGGCGGGTTAGTTTTAGCTGTAATTATTGGGTCAGGAAGTACCTTTAGATCTGCACCATTGCTGTCCTCCCTTTCAAACTCATTTTCGATCTTTTCCTCATCCTTATCTTTAGGGATAACAAGTTCAGGCCCCTGAATTTCCTTCCCGCTCCTCAGGGTCATTGCGCTCACGTTCTTCGGATTTAATTCGGATTGAGATGGCAATTTACCTTGGTTCTGGGAATCCAAACGGTTGATTGTTGTGGCCATTTGACTTATCTGATTCCTTATATCCTGCATTTCGGAGTCCGTCCTTTGCTGATTTTGCATAATGGTTGCCTCCGTCCTTTGCTGATTTTGCGCCATGGTTGTCATCATTTGTTTCATCATCTCCTTCAAAGATGGACCAGAGCTTGGGGGCGGAGGTGGTCGGGGTTGGTATTGCTGCTGGTACCCTGGTGGCTTATTTGGCACAAAGTTAGACTGCCTGTTCGGTGTAAAGTTGGGTTGCCTATTCCCTCCATAACTGAGGTTGGGATGATCTCTCCACCCGGGGTTGTAGGTGCTTGAATAAGAGTCGTACTACTTCTTTGGCGCGGGCGCGTGAGCAGCCATGTTCACATGTTCTGCAGTTTCTTCCTGAATCATTGGGCACATGTCTGCAGAGTGACCTATATCAGTGCAAATCCCGCATACCCTGGCTTGTGATGCATTTCTCACAGCCAATTGCTTAACAAACGCGGTCAACTCAGTTAGCTGCTGCTGCATGGAGGGTGTCTTTACCTCATTCACCATACGTATTGGAACATCCTCTCTCGTACCGAATTGTTGTGAATTTTCTGCCATACCCTCTATTAGCTCCCGTGCTTCCTGAGGGGTTTTGTTCACCAGCGCCCCTCCACTTGCAGCATCAATTATGCTCCTGTCTCTGAAAAGGAGCCCCTCATAAAAATACTGTATGATCAATGCTCACTTATTTGGTATTGGGGGCACCTGTGCAACAAGTTCTTGAACCGTTCCCAATACTCATAGAGTGACTCCCCTGGATGCTGCTTGATCCCACAAATTTCTTTCCTCAGACTTGCAGCCCTGGACGCAGGAAAATATTTATCCAAAAATTTTTTCTTCAATTGGTCCCACGTGGTGATGCTACCTGGTGACAGGTAGTACAGCTAGTCCTTCGCAGAATCTTTCAAGGAGAAGGGGAATGCCCTCATTTTTATCTGCTCTTCTGTGATACCCGGGGGCTTCATACTGTTGCACACGACATCAAATTCCTGCAGATGCTTATACGGCTCTTCACCTGGTAAACCATGAAAAGAGGGTAAAAACTGAATCAGACCAGATTTTAATTCAAATAGAATGTTATCATTTAAGGTGGGGAAGGTAATGCATAGAGGCTGCTGCTTTAAATTAGGGGCAGCCAACTCCCTCAATGTTCGTGCATTAGCCATGGTTCCTTCCTCCTGGTCAGAGTCACTTGAAGTGTCACCAAACGAATCTGTTGGGTCAACTCCTGGCTCAGGTCTCTGAGATGCAGCACTGGAGTGCTCCTCTCTGAGCTGTCCGGTTTTCTTTCTCGTTCTACGTGCGGTCTTTTCTACCTCCAGATCAAAAATCAAATCACCTGTACGAGAAGATCGAGGCATACACTAGAAGAAAACCAGAAAATTAGGACAGAAAAAAATGAATTTAAAAAGAAACAAATAATAACGCCAGTCCCCGGCAGCGGCGCCAAAAATTGACAGGGTGTCGAAGCCT